AACAATATCTATGAGAAGTTGGAAATCAAATTGACAGTACAGTTTGTATCAAGGATGATCTGGACCACTGCATTTTTCTACTGTCACTGAGATGTCATTTTATGTCAGACATCAGCTGTAATAAAAAGTTAACAGGAATCAATAAAGATAATCTGGAGGTTTATATATTTTCATGTTTCTGACTGCTTGAGCTCTCTTATTTAATTCAACTGCCTTTAAGTCTCCGGATACGGTGCATGTAAGACTTAAGAAAAGAGAAAGAAAACACATTAATATGATGCAAATAGCACAAGTTCAAAGAAAGTGGATGAACATAACAATTTTAAAGTGACTTCCATCATCGTGTGTGCCACTGCATGAGTTAGCAGTGTGTTCCCACATGTGTGTTGGTGAGTGAGAGAGAGCGATAAGAGAAGAATAGGAACCTGCACAGCTGTTGACAAAGCGATAAGGTGAAAAACACATCATGAGGCACTGTTTGTTTCAGGAAATGAGTCTTACACTGAAACTAAAAATTCTCAGTGTGCGACAATCTATATCAAACTAGTAATGACCCGACTGATGTTTTTTTTATTTTACACCTTTTTACCTGCTCACAGCAGAATGCAACAAGTGTCACTGGGTGAATATAAATCGTGGATGTTGTATCACATCAGCGTCCTATTCATCCTTGGTTTCCACCAGGCACTCTGCAGCTCCAGAAAAGAGACTGAAGGATGAACTGTCATGTTTGAATTCCTCATGTAGATTTTATCGTTTCAATGATCAAGACACTAAATCTTTATTAAATCAAAGCTCCAGAAATTCAGCTCTATAACTTGGATAAGTGGGGAAAGGTTTAATGCTCTTTGTTTCACTTCAAATGTCTTACATTCAGGATCATGGCCTGATTGAGAGTCTGCTGTAATCATGTGCTGTTTTTTGTCCTACGTGTGATCCATTATTTATAAAGTGACACATTAAGTGATGCAGTTTGTGTTTGAGTGCTGGCACGGCAAATTAGCATCAACCCACTGACCAACAGTCGTCAGCTTTCTGAAAGCCCTACATGGAGTCAGTGATTCAGTTTCCAGTATTTACATTAAAATGGTTAGTTCTCATTTCGGTGCCAGGTGTGCCTATCACCACTGTGTCCACACGTCTCTACACAAGGTGGCCCTGCCCCTTCACGGCTGTATCACCCACTGGGTGAAACCCAACCGCCTCCACCCACCAACACCCCCATGACTACAAAGTGTCACTTTGCCCAGTTTCATTCTTTATCTGCACCCGACACATCTGCTAAACTTCTGGCTCATTCCTTAAATGCATTGACACATGCAGCTATACTTTAAGTATTAGGATTTCTATCTTCTAAACCAAACACAACTCTACACTGCACACACTCGCTTTGCCTCCCGGGTATATTTTCTGATTTCTGAAGGAGAAGACCACAATGGCACCTTCGGTTCTACAGAACGGTGGATTCGTTTTAGGCCTGATCGGTGCAGCAGCCCTGATCGCAGCCACAGCCATGAACAAGTGGAGTGTTAAGGACAGGCAGGGGGAGGTGGTGACATCCGTTTACACCTACAAGGGTCTGTGGCAGGACTGTGAGACGTCCTCCTCTGGACTCACCGAATGTCGTCCGCTCTACGGCCTCCTGGGCTTCTCAGGTAGGACAGGACTCCTCTCTCTCTCTCTTCTTTACATACAATATATATATATATCCAGCAGTAGTTTCACTCCTTGATGTCACATGTGTTCCCAGGTTGAACACATTCAACCTGGGTCTCCTTCACTGTCAAGGCCACAATCTCATGACATGTTCTAACTTAGTCTGGTCTCTCCCTTATGAGATCTTGTCAGAAGTGATTCTCTGATCAGCAACTATGATGCAGCGAGTGAAAACATTTTATAAAGTTGTATCTGAACTGTTTAAAACATGAGTTTTCCAATAGAAGGAAGTAGGAGGAAGTTCTGTCACTTCCTGTTAATATTCAAAAATGGCCTCAACTATAATTCTTCTGAAAGGACGAGGCAGCAGGATTTTAAGGTGCAGATATGAGTCTCATTCAGGTTGATGATGAGATGAGAACTTCTGGAAGAAACAAATATGTCATATTGGCATAAAGGGTTGAAATTGTTTAAGTTTTGAAGATGATTTAAAGGGGAAATGAGGAGATAAAATGAGTTTTAAAATGTTTATTGAATAGATTATAACACTTTGATTTGGTGCAAAGAGGCAAATTGAGGCTAATTGTGCGAAAAAAATCAAAAGGAAAATGAGGAAGAACAGGAAGAAACCTTACAGAATAAAAGAGATAATTCAGATGATGTCAGACAAAATGTAAAGATTTCCCCTTGGATGACTCAGAGTAAAAAAAAAAAAAGTTCAATTGTTTTAATCAGATATTGTACTAAAAGAATTGTTACTCTGAGTTTCTGTTTCCATCACACAAACTCTTGTTCCTGTGTCAAGCCCACTCCTATCAGTGTTTGCTCTGCTCCGCAGTGCATTCTGGACCATGTAATGGACAGCTGGGCCGAGAGTTGGTCAATACAGTTATCAGAAACAGAACAAACAATACGCAAAGGGCAGGTTCCTACAACACACCTATACCACAGGAACATACTCACCACATTATTAAGACATTATTAAGACTTGAAATATGAGGTTTCATTATAATACACAGGTTAGAGTGCAGGTTATCACACAAAAGTATAGAAAGCCTGATTAAGGCACAGTCTTTTCAAATGAGGACATGACAGGAAGACGTATGAATATTTTTTTTGCTAAAGTTGGACATAAATTGATTCTGGGGGGTTTATACACAACAAAAAAACTAATAAAAGTTGGGTTTATATTTTGTATTCTAGTATTTTTAGAGACACAGTATAATTTGTACAACACCTTGTATCTACTGAAGCATGCATTATAAATAAAATGATCTTACTTTGCCTAAAAACCAGATTAAATGTAAATCTACTGTAAAGTCTCTGATTGGGGGTTTTCTGTCAACTACAGGGGCCTTCCAGGCTGTGCGGGCCCTGATGATAGTGGGCGTGGTGCTGAGTGTACTCGGGGCGGTGATATCAGTTTTCTCCCTGACCTGCCTCACGATGAACAGCATGGAGGACACCACCAAGGCCAAGATGAGCCTCACTGCTGGCATCATGTTCATCATCGCTGGTACTAGTTTACATGTGGATTAACATGAGTCAAGCTGTAGAGGAATATCTGCAAAAGAAATCACCAACATGAATCCCTTCATTTCACTTGTGTCCTTCTGTCTCCTCCCTCAGGTGTGTGCGGCATTGCAGGTGCATCCATCTACGCCAACCAGATCGTGGCCACTTTCAGGATGGCCACCTACCCCAACTATGGTGGAGGAGGAATGATGGGGGGAGGGATGGGTGGAATGGGTGGAATGGGAGGAATGGGAGGAATGGGAGAAGGGATGCCAACGTAGGATATTAAGTTTATTATTTTTGCTTCTGTTCTCACACTAATCCATATTGTTCACATGTTGGACCTATACATACTTTGTGTTATCTCTATTTACCAGATACACGTTTGGCCCTGCACTGTTTATCGCCTGGATTGGAGGCGGCGTGCTGCTTATTGGCGGCATCCTGAAGTCACTGGCTTTCAGGGACATGGTGAAAGATGAAAAACCACAGTGAGTCCAACACAGATTTATATTGGCAGTAAATGATAAGCTTCTTAAATTCTGTATAACTGGATGATTTATTATGTCTGTGAATTTATTGAGCACCAAATTTGACTCAGGTATTATGATGTTATCAGTTATTTTCTCACTCATTACACATTTCAGTCTTTTCCATGTGTTTGGCCAGAAGATACAGCTTTACAACAGTTACCTTCATACTATGTGTTGTCTCTTGTCTTTCAGTTACCCAGGGGTTGTTTACAAACCTCAGTCCCGCACCAAAACCGACCTGGGTGATCATCACTCAGAGGACGGCAAGAGAAACCAGAACTATGTGTGACTTTAAACAGCCTCAGCACTTACAAATGGTTTATGCTAAGATTTGTGCTTTTCAGCCTTCATGCAGCCGGCTTTGAGATGTTTTTATACATAAACCAATTAATTCTGCATCTTATTGTTGCAGTCCAGATGTAATAATAAAAAAGGCAATTTGGCAAAATATGTAGTTTTCATATGCACATTTAGTGGTTATGAGATATTTAAAAATGTTCTGATACCATGTGTAATTGAAGCTTTTTTTTTTACTTGACTTTTGTTAAATCATTTTATTTTTATGTTTGAAAATAAAACACTGATTTCTGATATATGTGGTTACAGTTTCTCTGAAAATGATTTAGGACCCACGTGAGTACAGGCATTTCAAACAGGATGTATCCATCTGCCATTGATTTGATTCCTGTGCAGCGATAACCTAATGCATTTAAACGGCTCATAACATTTCTTGTTAGACAAGATCTGTCAACATGGAGAATAAAATCTGAATAGTCTTGAGGTTTTACTTTGCAGATTGTTTCTGCTTTAGCAGGAAGAGAAATACACAACTGACCTTTTTTTTTTTTTTTGCAAATGAAATTATGACAGGACCTTTAAAAACAAGAGTTTCAAAAGTTTTACTTTTATATTATCATTTTAAAGAGAACAGGGGTTTCAGAAAGCTAACAGCCATTTCCTCCTAAATCTAGAGACTGGTTCACATAAGGTATATCTAAGACCTAGTTTAGAAATGTGATTTGAAATTTAAGGTCCTCCTCCCTGAGAAACATGCTTTCCTTATTGTTACTTCACTTGCAAGTTTCACCTCGACTTTACATAATGATATGAAACTCAGAGTTGTGTGTGAGGGGGGGTCTATTTTTGTCTTTTAGAAATTATTTAGAGAATTTGCAATAACTCTTAATTCTAAGGTCATTCTCTGCAGAAGCAATACCCTTTCCAACCGCTAGATGTCAGCACATTTTCATCAAATAACAACTGTGATTCAGTCGCAGTTTCCAATAAAACACATTATTGGCAGATAAACCTCCAGAAACTTTATTTATTGTTGCATATTTCAACCTCCACCTCAAAAACCAAGTATCCAAAATAAATCTAGTTTCTCTCCAAAGCAGAAGATGCAGAAAAACACAAAGGTACATCAGAGCTCACATCCCAACACTGGTTTCCTGTGAGCTCTTCACAAACATGTGCCTCTGCAGAAGACGTCTGCATTTGGAAAAGCAACTGCGATCCATTCAGTCACAATGTTGAGCGTTATAAAAAATAATTATACACGAATATCAGACAGACAGAGGGGGAACAGAAACTCTCACAGGTGGACAACAAAACGGGTCATGAGGTACGAATGTCTTCTCAAACCAAAGGGACAAAATATCATCCATGATTTATCTTTGATTTTGATTATTTCAGGGTGTTCTGCTCCTCTGGACATTTGGTAAAACTTAGACAAGATAATTATGATCTTCAGATACAAAAAACGGTCATAGAGTACATATATTCTACAACCATCTATCAAGGCCCAGTTGTGTACAAATTGGTAGATAATTAGGGTCGGATCCCTCAAAGTACAAGAAAGCTTTTCTAACTTGCTCCTTTATTCTCAAACCACGCAGATCAAATTTCCATCTAATTTGCTCAAGCTTTCAAAGATCTGTCTCTTTATTAATTTTACAGCTGCAGAGATTTCCAGAAACTGTTTCTCTGCTTCTTAGTTTTCATTTGGACCATTTTATTTGGTATAAATTAGCTCAAATTAATACTGCTGGAGGTGGTTTATCAGCAGTTATCAGGTCACAGCTTCAGCAAAGAAGTGCTGCTGGTTAATATTTTAAAACGTAATTTTTCCGCCCTGTGAGCACCACAAACGAAACTTAATTCACCTGAGCAGAAGAGGCACAAACCTTACAGCTTCAGCACATACAACACAAACTATCTGCAGTTTTATAAAAGAGCAAGTAGTGAAATTGTAATTGTAATTTAGAGGATATCCTGTCACTAAAGATTTAAAATTAAAAAAAAAAAAAAAAAAAAGAAGTTGGAATTGTGTCTATATCCGGTCTAATTTCTCACTTAGGAACTCCTCCACGCTGTCTGTGTTCCACTTGAGGATGCTGAGTTCTTCAGCGATGTTCCCGTTATCGTCCAAAAGCTTTAGTACAGGATCTGAGCCTCTAACATACTGTAGAGAAGGAGGGAGTGAAAAAGAGAGAAAAAGAGGGTGTTAAAAAAAGCTGGCTTGGCCTCAATACAAATGAGTATAATATAACCTTATTTCTTACAAATGACTCCAGATATAGTTTATTGTGTCTAATCATCAACACAACTCATAATCCCTACCTTGATCTGAAGACCCTTGAACATCTTCGGCTTATCACTCCTGACAAAAGCTGTGGAGGTAAAAAAAAAAAAAACACTGGTGAGACAAATGTCGGGGTAATGAATCAGCCTTTCTATTTCAGTACTGACGTCTGTAATTAGCGCCAACTGCGAAACCTCCTGAGAAGGCGGCGTTAATGGTGGAGGAGACAGTTGAGAACACAGGACCGCTACAGCTGAAGTAAACAAACAGCAGCCATATGGCACAGACAGGGCTCCAGACGTCTCGCCCCCATACTGAGGCGAGCGGCAATAAGTCCATCAACGTAACCCGACACCAAATTATCCAAATGGTACTCTGAGCAGAGATGGGAGGTCTGCTCCCAAGACGCAGGGGAAGGAAAAAACAAACTTCAAAAGCTTGTTTGAAAACCAGCCCACAGGCACTTTAGACCACCTACGATTTCACAAGGAAATATAGTACACTCATCTGCACTGATGAAGACACAGAATCACCCAAGGCATGTTTCTATTTTCAGGAGGGTGAATTTGTGAAAACACAGTAACTTATCAAGAGTATAATCGTGTTGAGAGAAAAAACTCACCTTGGACTTGGGGGAACCTCCCCAATTTTCATCCACACACCTCGAGGATGGCTCCAGCATAAAGCTGTGTGCAAAGAAACACAGCTTAAGGATCCCAGCATACACAGACAGACACACAGACAGACACACAGACAGACACACAGACAGACAGAGACACAGAGACACAGAGAAAGAGAATAGACTGTGGCCCTGCTGGTGGTAGGACGCCTGCCTGGCCTGGAGCAGTAATTTGATTCAGGCAGACTGATTCATAAACGTATCTGTGCGACTCCTTGGGGGTCATTAAACTGTGAGCCTTTGCATATGGATCAGGGCTGATGGATGGTGGTTTGTGCAGATCTCACTTGTAATCAAACCTCCAGCACCAATATACAATAAGTTAGAGGAAATTGGAGTGTCACAGCAGTATTTCAAGACCATGCTCCACTCGCCGGGTTCAGTGGGGAGGAGGGAGCAATGATGGGCTGCTCGGCTGGTTCACACAGCAAATTAAATTAAGCATGCAAAGCTAAGATCCTCTCTTATTCCTCCTGCCCGCTTCCCACGTGAGTTTCTCTAAACAATCTGGCACTGCTGAAATTTAATTTCCCTGCTTTTCATTTTTATCGCACACAGCAGATCAGGGAAAAGTCAAATGATAGGATGACTCAACTTTGACTCTTTTGAGAATTGACACAATGTGAAATGCCCTTAATTATCTGGTCGCCCTGTCTATCAGTGATTTCAATACCAAAAACATGAATTAGAATCATGACTTTCACTTTAAGTCCAGCCATGTATCTGTCTGGTTCTGTGCCAAACGTACATACAGACGCCGAGATCAACTACAGCCTGAAATTATAAAACATAAATGATGTCAAATGACAAACAATGATGATTCATGGGATTTTCTTTGTGTGGCTCCCAATAAATACAAGGATTCTGTATTACTATTAATTATTATAATTAGAATAATAGTTCCTAATAATATAATGAATCAATTAACATGACCTGGCAAAAATATTTGTGTAAATTAATACATTAAAAAAGTGCTTTCTATACCTCTCGCATGCACTGCAGTCCACTGTTTCAATTATAGTTTGTAGATGTATAATGTTTCAAACAGCCTGCAACCTAATCTAATAAATCATGTATATTACATTCAAAACTTTTTAATAGCTGAGTTTTAAGACCTGCAGATACCCTGTGGAACTATTCTTACAGCTGGGAACAGTGTTACTCAGGAGTAAATGGTGCATTTTGTGAGGAATGTTTTCAGATGCAGAGCTCTTTCACATCAGTGTTGTTCTCTTAGAAAACAGGGGAGCTCAACAGAACAGAGAAATAAGACACTAGGCTTTAGCCACACAGACAACACAACACTAGTACGTCTTCTTCTGGGATTTGTCAAACTGATCTTGACTTGTAGTCCTGTAATGTAGGCTTCTCATGTTATTGTTATTAACGATATGGTTTTCCTGCTCTACAGAGACGCAATGTCTAATGAAACCCAAGGGAGATGAGGTGCTGGCATGTGCGGGTGTTCTGCAGAGAGCCACACGTTTCAAAATGAGTATCTGAAATGCCCTCCATGCTCAGTGAATCCTGCTAATCGACTAGGCTGCAGAATTAGCCATTTCTCAAAGGGTTTAATGACTTGGCACTAATGTCAATTGCGAGATTCGAAGAATTCTTAGGGCAGATAATTGTTCCCGTCTGAGGAGAAAATGTGCTTAGTGACACTGTCATTTCTACTGTGAGGCGACTGGTCTCTCACGTGACATTTTCACTCAAATCGCGAGCAGCAAGGAGTAATCTGCCCTCTATGAGTCTGACTGTCTGAAACACACTTATCATCGAGAGGTGTAATGAGGTGTGCTCTACACTTTTCCAAGGTGCTGTTGCTAGGATACTACCCACACGTTCTAGGGGCTTTGCTCAATCAAAGGAAGATTACATTGTTTTTCCACCATCGCTTCACTCTCTGTTTATCCATCAGAGCACAGCAGGGACTCCTTTTGAATGTCCTTTAATCACTGGAAACACTAGCGCCTAACAACGAATCTGAACAGGTTACGGAGAGGTTGTTACTGCATAACCTGACAGTTTGACCCCATGGGGAGTGTCGAGCTGGGGTTAAGGAGACTCGACTGAACATCAGAGAGACAAATTGAGACAGCTAGTGACAGAGTTTGTGTGTGGAGGCTCAGATCTGATGCACAGCTGCAAACAGTGTCAACAGACCCAGCAACAGGGAGACTAAAACTAGGTTGTTTTTATTAGCAGTCCAAACACTAAGGGATGTGCTCATCACACGTTCTGACTCATAGGTTCCCAGAGTGTTAATACTACCCACTGAGTAGCTGCTTCCGCACAGCTATAGTGAATCACAAAAGACAACATACGCATCAGCTCAAGATTCCACAATGAATGTACTATCTGTTGCATATCACCAGATTTTACAAGACTCTGTCCTGCAGCACAAACACTCACAACGTTTTATCTTATAATTCCGCTAAAGGAACTTTAGTTCACATTCATTACACTTCTATTTTGACCGAGTCCCCCTTTTGAGGTCTTTGCAACACGTTCAATGTCGTCACTGAACCGAAACAGACTGCTTTATGTTTTGTCTGTTCCTGGACCTCGTTGTTCCCTTTACCTTGCGCGCTTCCATCTGGGCCTCCTGCTGGCAGCACTGTTGGCAGTCAGGCTGGAGCTTGGTGAGGCTGAACTCTCCGAGCAGGTCACAGGAGCTACACAACAGGTTGCTGGAGAAGCCCAGTTCCCTGCATGCCTCTGACGACAAGTCGGTCCCGTACGCCGACACCTGGGAGAGAGGAGGTTGAGAGGATTCAAATAGAAGGGAAACAAAAATGCTATGTTTCTATATAGTGCTTGCTTGCGTTTTAGACACAGAAGCACAGCACTGAAGCAAAATTAAGAATAAGGAGCCTGACATAAAAGATGAATATGGGCGATAGTTTTATTTTTACAAATGCAATAAAATAGAAACTCAACAAAACAATTCCAAGCTGTATGCACTACAAATGGTGAGGTCTTGATGCAGCAACTGCAAAAGCTGGATCTCCTAAATCCAATCTCGACTAAAACATCTATCTTATTTTGTTTAGTGGCCCTGGAACTGCAATATCATAATCTATCAAACTATCAAATTCAGTATTCTTTTAATAAATACAGTCATCTTAAATAAACAAGTGCCAATTTACTTAATCCCTCACCTGTTTAAAGGGCTCTAATATGATGTGGCCAATAACCACAAGGCAGTAAATATTCATTTGATTTAAAACGGTGGAAAAACAAAGGGGATGCTTTTCAGGTATAAATCCAATGGTGGGATTTGTTTTGATGATGCATCAATAGTTTCAGTTTTTACGTCACTTTGGCTGATGGACTATAAATCAGTAATTTCAACACAATGGGTACATGGTTGACTGGCAAGCAGGTAGAGCAATTAACAGGCTGGTTGTGGTGTGATCATCTGCTTTGCCACTGACCAACAAAGAGTAAAGCTGCTTTTAATAACATGGATCCGAATGACAGTCGCTAATAGATGACCCAGCTTCCACTGACGCATGAGAATGAAGATGCTAGCATGTAACGCTAATGTTTAAGCCCAGTTTCGCTTTCAGGATTCAGGAAATAAGTTCTCACTCACAATATGGCCCATTAAGAAACATCTCTGTTTATCTTTTTTCGATCCCCGATGATACATCAACCTGTGACTGACACTGTGTAGTATTCAGACGACAGGAGTTTAATGTTGACTCTGCTTAACACAGGAGTGGATCAAACCCGGGGAGGCTTCTCTTCCATCACGGCTCAGGTTGAGCCACGTCATTTTGAGGCAGCGGGAGCAGCAGGATGCGGTTCATAAAACTGCAGCTAACGTTAGGCTAACATGCGGCTAACATGAGACCACTGACAGCTTCGTCACCCGGTTGTGTTTCTCACTAAAGACTCGAAGAAGCGGCGACGAATGTTAATTTCCAGTGTGGATAAACTCACCGTTTTTAAGAGCGAGAGAAGCCACAGGAGATACACCTCCCCCGACATTTTGGATCCTGCTTTGTTAGCGAAACTCACTCAGAGGACCCCTGTGCTTAATGAAGGGCAGCCCTGTCGCGCCTGAACGTTAAACTTGAAAAATTGACGTATAAAAATAGCAAAAGCTGTTGAAATAAATCCCTTATAATGTTCCAAAAATGTGAAATACGCTTTTACAGATATTTGAGGGATTAGGATACATTTAATTAATTTATCATGTTTCGTGAATGTTGGCGCATGCACAGGTCGACTTGTGATTTCTTCCTCGCCTTTGCTGTCGGTCTTTGCTGCAGAGGGAACAGCGACACCTGGCGGCTGTGTTCAGGAGCGTTCGCTGAACGGGTCCAATCGGCGGTGAACAGGCAGTGAGCGGACGGCCAATAGGAGGGCTCGGCTGCCTGGTGGACTGCTCACGCGTCCAATGGGCTGAGCGGTAGTAGCCGAGTGTCCGTGCGGCGATCCCACTGGATGGGACGGGACATCGCTACATGGGGGACGTAGGCGACAGCGGCTGGTAACACCGCTCCGACACCCTGGGGGCTCACACCCGCGCTCTGGAGAAATCTGTTGGGCTGCACGACGCTCAGCCGGCGGGGATCGAGCCGATCGAATAGCCGAGCCGAGTATGAACACTTCGCATTTGAGGTAACCAGATGATTTGAGTTCGAGATACCCACACACACAGAGGGAGAGAGAGAGAGAGCAAGAGAGAGTGAGAGAGAGAGAGGGCCATGCACACACACACTCAGTCGCTTTGTAATCACCGTCGTCTCTACGTGCGTGTGTGTTTTCAGTGTCTCCTCCTCCTCCTCCGACCATGGACTGACCGAATCCCTCTCTGGATGATTTGATGGGGCTGCTCAGAGTCATGATGCCGCCCAAGTTGCAGCTGCTGGCGCTGCTGGCGTTCGCAGTGGCCATGTTCTTCTTGGAGAACCAGATCCAGAAGCTGGAGGAGTCCCGGGGAAAGCTCGGTAAGTGCGCCCCCCCCCCCCACACTCGTTGTTGTGCACTTGGGTCAATAGTAAGAGGCGGTGTGCAGAGAGAGCGGCTCCTCATCCTCTACACATGCCTCACCGTGTGGATCAGAACAATGGCACACACAGGCATGACATGTTGGAGCTGCGTTTCTGAACTTTGCACGACTGTGAAGAGACTGAATTGTTCCCAGTTATTTAATGCCTACAGACAGAATCTGCCTCTCTCCATAATCTGTGCTAAACAGTGTGAGATTGAGGAGGTGCTGCTGTCTTCAGTCTGAGAGTGGAGGAGTGTTACTGTAGTGTGTCTGTGTGTGTGTGACTTATTTTCAGACAGAAACAAAGGATTTTCTGGTTTAATATTCTGGATGAAATACAGGTTAATGTCCACCTCCTCAGATGTCTTGGTTTGTGATAGAGAGATTTTTCTTTTTTGATCTTGAGGAAAATGTAGAAACCCAAATCAGCTGAGACTGAAGAATATTTTGCATTTTTACTTTAAAAGTGAATTGATCCATTATTTGATCATCAGTTGTGGATTCTTTTTCTTTCAATCAATTAACCGATGAACTGCCTAACTGGTTCAGCTGAGGTACACTTGCAAATTAAATGAGCTCATTTAGAAATGTTTACGATTAAGTGGAGCAGACTCAGGGTGGAGGTTCTTGAGTGGGACTGTAAGGAGGGATGGTTGGTGGAGAATACGTTGCAGTGCTCATGGAATAATAGAAAGCCTTTTTTTTGCTCAGAGTCATTTTTAGTGGTATCCTCTATCCTGCAGGCACAGGGACACAACGCTGCTGCAAATCCCCTTCTGCCCCTTTCCCAAACTCTTTCCTCTGGTTGAAACGTGGCCGACGCCGTGCGTTCAAATCTCATTGCTGTAGCTCCCCATCAGGGGCTCAGTCCAAATAAAGATCTGGGACATTGCAGGATTATCTCCCCAGTGCTTCCACCACGGTGGGGATTTTTTTAAGGAACAGCAAAGTGATGCAGGGCACCCTGAGGGTGCAGCCCCACCACAGGGGTTCACATACCGGCTCCTGTGTGATTTTATGAGAGTGAGAGACTGGCAGGACAGCTGATAGACTCTGTTCACAGCCGATAGTTTCACATAGTAAAACAGAAAAAGCACAGGTGGTGATTAATAACATGAACAATGGTGGCAGTAAATTCCATTTGGGTGAGTCCCAGGGTCCTGCTGTTATGTACACTGGTCCACTCACATGGTTTACAGGGACACAGAAATCATCGGTGTCCATGGTAATGGTAAAAGGTGTTGCACTGGCTCAATAAGTTGAAGGTGAGTGGAGTTATAGACGAGGATGTCAAAATATGTATTTGTAAGAATGATAAAGATGGAAGTTGACATGTCTCAAGAGTTGCAGCAAATCTAACAGGGGAGTCGGAGCTGTCAATCACTGACCTTGTGAGGACCAGTAGACGTCATGGGGACCAAAGCCTGGTCCTAAGTGGTCGTTACTGAATAATACAAATCTTTTTCTGTTATTCAGTTATTTAGTCAGTTATATATCTGATAGGAAAGATAGCATATAGCTAGGAGATCAATACACAGACTTTGTCAGATGACTCAGACATGAGGCTGTGTTGTGTCCACAGCAGTTAGTGAATAAAATGATGAACAGTCATCTTAATTGAATAAAGTTTCCCTGCTGAGTTCTCATGTGTTGGAACAGTCAGGAGTCCTGAGTGTATAGATGGCTATATTGGCCTGTGACATGGTTTACTGCTGCTGTAAAGGGCTATACTTTACACTCAGTGAAAACCCAAACTGTGCGCACACACACCCACCCCCACAAACATATATATACACACACACACTCTCTCTCTCCCTCTCCCGATGCTGAAAGAGAACCTGAGAGGCCTTTTCCCTGACTGCCCACCACCACGAGAATCTGTTGACTTGGCAGAAAGCACTGTGATGGATGGATGACCGGGCTGAGCAGACGTCTGTATACTGGAGCTCTGAATTATGTGCTGCATAGCCAAATAGTTGTGACTGAGGCTTTCACAGGCACGATGCTGACAGACAGCCGCAGGGCTGGTCACATTACCAGGTATACATACGCCTGCTGCAGGTCCATCTGTGCAACAATTAAAAATCAGCATGACGACCACAACAAGGACAGATGGTGTCCACCATCCAAATCAAGACATCAAGAATAACTCTGATGTGATAATTAGGAGAACCACTTTTGGAAGATGCATTGTGATGCATCACTTTCCTCTATCATGTTTCACATATTCACAATTAGCTTCACGTGAGCTGAAATGACCAGGGCGGCACCCACTCCTCACAGTGTGGGATCCCTATTGCCCGACACGCAGGTTGAATTATTTTCCCCCATTAGACACCTCCCACAGTGCAGACAAGCTGTGATTTGCTTCCAAGCTAATCGTCATCCCAAGGTTTCACTGAGAAGTCTCCTGCATTACAATCATGCAGTGATGCAGCTGTGTGTCCTACTGTGGGCCTAATCCATTATTCTGACAGTATTTCTCTCCGGCTGCTCACCACACTGCTGCCGGCTGGGTCAACAGTAATGTAGTCTGCGGAGGGACGGGAGGATGGATAGATGGATGGAAATGAAGTTCCGTTAATAAAGAGCCAGGAACGGGGGATCCAAGGCCACTTTTCCTGTCAGGACTGCCATTAACTCTCTCTCAGTTCTGGTAATTTCACACGCTCACCTTGAGGATCTTATGCTACTTTATAATAAACTCTGAGGAATGATATTCCAGCATAATGCTTCACTGACATCGAACATGAGACAAACGCCTGCATTAGACTCAGGAGCGATTAGATCTTCTTAACCTGTAGAGAAAATGTAATCTGTTGGTTAAAAGTGAAGTCACCACAGAAGTTGAAACAGGAGTGAACAGTTGAAAACAACTATCATATCAAAGTTAAATCCTGTCAAATGAAATTTGTTCATTTAAAAAAAATCTGGGTTTTCTTTTTGTGCAGATTCATTTGACTCTGATAAATTTTTATGTACAAAGCTTGGACTCAGGCAAAAGTGTCGCTTCTCTTAAGCTGGACAAATATAAAGCATTTTATATTTATGTAAATAATATTTTTCACTTTCAATGATCAGTTCTGATTATAATAATAATAATTTTATTATAAATCCCTCAAGAAGAAGCTCAATAAAACAAAGAAGTCAAAGCCAGCAGTGTAGATGAAGATAGATAGCAGCCCCCCCTCTTTCACTAGCGGTCCCGAAACGACCCCTTTTTCCGTTTCTCGTTTTTTTTCTGGCTGACAGCACATTTATTACACAGCCGACTGCATCACTATTTGTGTAACACCTGTCCTTGCTACCTGCTTTTATAGATTCAAGCTATGCTGAACTTATTTCCTCAGGGAAAAACCTTTCATTTGACATATCTCAGCTTTTCAACCCTTTCTGGTGCTTTCAAAACCATGCAAAAAAAAAAGCTTGTACTTGTGCAGTTAAATACATTTCCCAATTCCGTTACAGAGAATTATTTAACATGTTTTTCCTGGAATCAGGCCAACCAGCTACAAGATTAATCATGACCATAAAACATTTGATTCGGAACAAAAATTATTATTGGAAAAAGAAAAAAGGTACAAGACTCTGCATAATTATTTTTAGAGTGAGGGAGCTATGCATCCCATAAACTATTGCGAATGATCCCAATGACTCCCAGTGTGCCTCTTCTTGAGTTTAACCTCATGATGATTTTCACCTTCTTGGTTGTTTGAGTTTTGTGTGTGGGTAGTGTAGAATTTCTTCTTGACATCGCAATTAAAACAGAGTGTACTTGTGGCTTTCACATTGTTTCACATTCTCATAGCTTCTAAAAGTCTACATTGGATTGTTAAAATATTTTGGCTGATAATCAAAATCCCTATTCAGAAAATGAATTTTGGATTTTTACTCCCTGAACCACGCTGTTGAGCTCATAGATGGCAGGTTATTCTAGACAGGATCGATGGTATATAGAGAGCTGTGTAAATAGACATGTTGCTTATAAAAATGTCACCTCATGGCCCTTGTAACAGGAGAAATGACCTCCTCACCTTTTTTCCCCTGC